AAGCTTCTGTAAGGTTTTTTGTAGCTCAGTGGAGTCGTTTCAAAATGATCACTGTTTTTGTGATTTTCAAAACAATATCAGAAAAAATATTTTTTTAATTACCCACAAAATTTCCTCTAGATCAGTGGATTTATTTCAAACATATTTACTTTTCAAACACGAAAAAAATCTACAATCGAGCAAATTTATCTAATGAAATGCATTACATAACTATTTTGTGACCGACATAGGTTAAATTAGGTTAAAATATTTTTTTACTAAGAAACAAAGTAACTAGTTGACACCCCAAATAGCATCTGAATTAAAGTTTTTGAGAAAACAAATTCAGAGGTAAATTTAACAATCATGGATCGATTTAAAAAAAAATACCTATTGTAGTTTTGCGCGTTAAAATCAGTATTTTAGATGAGTCAATTCCATGACGTATTGTCATTTTATTGATGACTTTCTGACGCACATCATGCAAAATTCATTGTTCAACCTACCAACAAGTTTTATAATAAAATAAAAACCTCTATATTACAGTTTTTATTAATTTCACCGAATATTAACGTTTAAACAATTTTCTATTAAACCGGGGGTTAATGATGATAGATGATATTATGACAAGGTCAATGATATAATTGATTGTCCTAGCAAATGCAGATAATTTAATCGTTCGAACGGTTTCGATTTCAAGAAGGGTCTCGGTTAAGTTTAAGCCCCACCCCCACTAATCAAGCCAAATGGTACCTCGTTTGCGCGAAGCCCTTACCCGTCTCGCTTAACATCCTCTATTCATATAAAAACAAATTTACACCCTAGATCTAGGTTCTTTGACGAAACAAACTGATCATATGGTTGATTGGTATCGGCGCTTAGAAAGCACTAACAAATAGAAACGGCTTAATTTTCTTCCGAGCCGCCGACATCGTGTCCCTTCGTAACAACCTGTAAACTAAACTTGGATGGAACTAAACTTCCCCTGTGATACGAAGTTGGAGTACCATGAAGGATTTTCGATTGCATGTCCCAGGCTTTCTTCCGAAGAAAAATCTATTGAGCTAAACTTTGCAAACCACCTACAGCACGCCAGCTAACATCGTCAGGCGCAATGTACTATATCGATTATTTTTTCTTATCCTTATTTCTTTTTCCCGAAAACAAGAATTTTAATTTGCTAATCAATTTTTTACCATTTAAGTAAAAGCAGTTACTAACTATAAATACATGAGCAATATATAAACTATCAAATTGATCTTAGCCACCCAAACAGAGTGATCCCATTAATAGAAACTTTGCATTTAAACTGTATAATAGCCTATCGTATATGACGAGATGCTTTGTAATGACATACGTTTCTAAACATTTAATCCCCGGCTTAAAAGTTGTTAATTTCGTCTCATTTGTATCGGTGTAATGTATCTTTTGTAATTCACATATTTCTTTCCTCCTTGGGAACAACTACGAGACACAAAAATCTAATTTTGGACTACTTTTTTCTATTCGAACCGTGTGTATTGTTTTAATTTAATTAATTTTCTTCGGCCATTAGTTTAAACTTGAATTCAACCGGGGTCACAATGCAAATACGCATCTCGGTAAAGGCAAAGTTATCGTGTGTTTCCGTCTAGCCGGGGGCGTAACGAACTCACAATGTTTTAGAGGAGTTTCAGACGAATCGCAACTCTCTGCGGCCTAGCAACACTTCAAAAACAGAGTTTTTGATTAAAAGTTAAGGATTTTACTAAACAACGCCACCCTCGGATGAAACCTGAAAGGCTTGTTTATTTGTTTAAAAATTAGAAATGTCCATTCCTATATCAAAACGTAAAAAGATAAAACTTTAATCAAGCCTCCTTCACAAAAGATTAATAATTATCAAACAATCAACCTATATAGGAAACATTAACAACCAAAAGTGGACAATATGCCATTCAATTACAACTCCTCTTTACCACGACCGTCGCCAATTTGATCAATGGGGAAAACATACGCCGAGAACTGACGGACCGAAATGGCCAGGATCTATAAATCTAAATTATGTTTGTTAAACGAACAACTCATATTTTAGCAATTAGACTTTTTCAAAATTGAAAAAATTATAATATTGTTCAAAACGGACTGAAAAAGCATTATAAAAATAATAATTTAACTAATATTTTGGCTATAAATTTTTATTTGTTACTTATATTGGTTTATGGCTGTTTGTACTTATTACATAATAAAATATTTCCAAATAATAAAAAATACAAATAGTAATGTAGCAATTATTTTTATTTTATGATTATCAAATAAACCAATATGGGAATTGAAAATACCTACCTACCGACTATTAGCTTGTGACATTTATGCTATTTCTTAATTATCTACAATATTTGTAAATTATACTTAAAATTATATTGAATAAAAAAAATTAATAACAGTGAAGGAGGATGATGAATAATTTAAGTACAAATGTTTTGACTTGTAATTTAATCCTTTTCTGTCAATATTATCTTCTTTATTTCATTATTGTTAATAAAATAACTAAAAAGTAAAACAGATGTGAGCAAAAAGACTTCACAACCACTGATTATTTGTAAATGTTATTGCCATGTGAGTCGATCATATTTGTGGATATTGTCTTTTTTTATTCAAAAACGTTAAAAATAGGTAGAAAATAAAAATGTCGCAAACAGAAAGACTTCTCAACATCCTGTGGCATTTTAAGTTGTAAAACTGCATTTTTCTATATTCAAATGTATATATTTTAAATATAAATTTTATTGGCATGCTAGTCGATCATATGTCAGCAAATTGTTTTCTTTACTTTATTCACAAGTGTTAAAAATAAGAAAAAAGTAAAAAAGTCGCGAACAGAAAGACTTCTCAACATCCTGTAGCGTTTTAAGTTGTAAAAACTGCATTTTTCTATATTCAAATATATATATTTTAAATATAAATGTTATTGGGAAGTGAGTCGATCAATTTTTGTGCAAATTGTGTTCATTATTTTGTTCAAAAACGTTAAAAGTAGGTAAAAAATAAAAATGCCGCGAACAGAAAGACTTCTCAACATCCTGTGGCATTTTAAGTTGTAAAACTGCATTTTTCTATATTCAAATGTATATATTTTATTTCCAAATTCATATATTTCCTTGGATTTTTTTATTTATAAAGAGTTAAAAACAAGCAAGGTAAGTTGAAACTGTATTTGTTTCCTATATACATTTAAAAAAATTGTACTGGCATGGGAACAACAATTTTATTCAAAATTCACGTCTTTATTTGGCATTTTATTCATGACCCGTTGAAAATAAAAAATATGAAAGAAAGACAACATCTTTTACGCCTCCTATGGTGTTTCAAGTTATAAAAAATTGTTTGTTTTTCCACAAGCAAGCTGTATATTTTAAATAATTTTTTTTATTTCCACGTGAATCTATTTGTTTTTGTCCAAATTCTTCACTTCTTCCACTTCTTTGTTTGACCTTTTATTCACAAAACAAGATAACATGACCACAAAGATTCCACACCTCCTATCGCGATTAATCTAATAAAAACTGTAATTTTTCATAAATAAATTTATATATTTTAAATACAAATGTGGCCGGCATGATCACTTTATTACAAATTCACGTCTTTATTTGGCATTTTATTAATGACGCGTTAAAAATAAAAAAGTGAAAGGACAACTTTTAAGCCTCCTGTCGTGTTTCAAGTAACGTAATAAAAACGAGTTTATTTGGTTTTGCACGTACAAATTATATACAATAAACACTATTGTTTTCTTCCAAATTCACTTCTTTGTTTGACCTTTTATTAATAAAACAAGATAACATGACCACAAAGATTCCTACACCTCCTACCACGACTTACCTTGTAAAAACTCTAATTATTCGTATATAAATTTAAAATTTTTAATACAAATGTATCTGACATGTAAATCAATCATTTTATTCCAAATTCTCTTCTATATTTTCTTTTCTTAATACAGTGTTAAAAATAAACAATGTGAAAAAATGATAAACTCTTACAAGCTACCTATCACGTACCAATTTTTGATTTAAGCAATAAAAACTGACTAATTTAGTTATTTTAACTAAAAATGCTAATTAAATAAAATGCCACATGAATCATTTTTATTCAAATTATCCTCTATATTTTGTCTTTTATTCATAAAACATTACAAAATAAATAAAAACAAACACGAGAACTAAAACCTTTAAGCTTTCTATTGAGTTTGATGTAGTAAAAAATGTTTTTACCATATACCAATTCACACATTTCAAATGCAAAATGTTTATTAACTTCGTTATTTTTATTTTATTCATAAATCGTTACAAATAAAAAATAAGACACGAGAACTGTCTCTATCGCGATTTATGCAATAAAAACTGTAATTTTACATATTCAAATTTATATATTGGTGGTTATATTATATATATAGTGGTTTTATTTTATTTCTTGTAAAATTTCAAAAAATATGTAAAGAAAAGAATTTCCAAGCCTCCTATCACGTACGAATTGTTATAAATCATGTACAAATAGAACTCTTTATTTTGTTGTGTAGTCGTAAACGATGAAAAAACAATGAGAACACGAACACAAAAAATTATAAGACTTCTATCGCTTTTTAAGTAATAGAAACTGTAAATTGCCGTATACAAAATTATATTATTTCTAATTATTTTAATGTAATGAAAGAATTTAGTATATTTAATGACAATAAAAATTTTATTTTGTCAGGATGAGACTACAAAATAATGTCAAATTAGGGATGTGAGGGGGGGGTTGCCAGGAAGGAGCGTTGTTTAATTTACCGTCGAGGGGGTGAGTTGTAACCTCCCCTTTCTGAACAGTTTATCCACGCACTTGGGCTGAATACAAGAAAAATCCTTTATTTTTAAGAAAATTTTATAATTTATACGCCAATTTTTTTAAAATATAATTTGTTTTTTTAGAAAGAAGCATGCCATGCTGACGAAAAACGTCGAAATGGATGAACCTCGACGTTCATCACGAGTAAATCCTCTCACCTGGGGAAAATTTGACGTAGATCGCATTGTTGGCAGGCCGAACATCGACTTGAACCGGTAATCACGAGACGTATCGGCACCTACGAAGGCTGTAGACTGACCGGTTTTGCGTATGGATCCGGAGGGCTTTCTCCCCTCTTCGAGTCGGCGCAGTGTGGCCAACACCAGTCTGTGTGGGAATTTATTTTAGATCGAAATGGGGAAATTTCACCAATTTTTTTTGTGTGCAAAGTTTTCACAGGCAATGAGATCATAGGCGGATTTTCAAAAATTTTAAGACCACAAGGAATAAACAGGAAAGTTCACTTTTCTATTTTCAAGACGAATTCTATTTAACATTACTTTTTTCATTTAAGGTTTTTGGTTGAGATGAAAAATTAGGGTCAAATAATTAATATGGTCAATTATGACCAATAAACAAATATGGATCAATTTGCCATTTAAAATTTGAAAAAAAGTTTTGCATGCAAAATTCGTTTATTTGAAATACTGACTGATGGTAGTTAAATGCATTACCTAATTATAAATATTATCTGCAGCAAACGGACAAATAAAAGATTGTTGATCAAAAATACAGGGGGGCAAATATAAATTTGGAAAATGACGTGATGGTTATTTTCTAGGGGGGTTTCGCAACAGCAGAGGTCATATCGACTCTTGGAGTTCCAGTGGTTTTGAAAAAAGCTTATTTTTTAAGTATGTTTGTTTCGAATTCGGGGCTGTTCGACGTCAATGCCTTAACTGTTGTGGCCACCGATGCTCCGATAAATTTATTAAAAAAGTATTCATATCCTCGGAGGCTACCTATAGATGGTGAGATGTTTTGTTGTTTGGGTACCGGGACACACAAGTCTGGAGGGCAGTGAAAAGGCGGACGAGGCGGCTTAGGCCGGGACATTCGAACCTCCGGACTTAACCACCGATATCCGGCCCACTGACACTGCCACCTTCTTTTAATCATGTTTTTATTGCATTTTTAGAGTCAGATGGCCGGATATCGTTGGTTAAGTCCGGAGGTTGGAATGTCCCGACTAAGAAGCCTCGTCCGCCTTTTCATTGCCTTGCAGTCCTATGAGTCCTTGTGCCCAGACAACCACTGTTTTGCCGAGACGCTCCAGTTCGTGGAAAATCTCCAACAAGAGAGTCGACGGAGAACCCGTTACGGACAGCAGTAACCGCGCTCAGAGTGTCGGTGTACACTAGGTACGCAGAGCTACCATCACCTCGAAGCGCGGTGCCAAATCGCGTACAATTCTGCCGTGTAAACGCTACAGTGGACCACTACTTACCACTAGTGAACGTACACTCGCGATACACAGCACACGCAACACCCTTGTCGGTGTTAGACCCTTCAGTGATGGCGGCCGAAAACCAACGTATCTCATTCCAAGCTCCAAGGACTTAGCTCGGTAAAGGTATGGCGGCGTAGTCGACTTGGCTAGCACAGCGAGATCCCGGGTGAGTACAGCTGGGAGTATCCAAGGTGAAATCAGCTGATTGTCCAGCTCAAGTGCCGTTCCCTGCCCTCACTAAGCATATTACTAGGGGTCGCGTCCGGGTCTGAAGTCGTTCGTACATTCTGCTATACTGGCATCTGAGGATTGAAGGTAAGACGCAAGCTTCTCTTTACGAAGTTGGGGCGGCAGCGCTCCTAGCTCACAGCACAGCCTCTCGAAAGTAGCATATTTAGCTTCTGCAGGCACGTTTTTTCGGCACAGTATCGAGACAAATCTTTTTAGGAGGGTCTCCCTGTTCGTTTCCCACTTTAAATGATCGACAAATTTAAAGAATGTTATAACTTTTCTTTCCTTTACCTTGACGACCTCAGGGTGTGGCTGCCATCTTAACTTTTGATCAACCGTGAGGCTGAGGAAGCTAAGATTTTATGTCATTATAAGTTAGATAAATAAGGATAATATCAACAAAAACCTCTCAAAGGTTTTATTTTATATTTCAAATTCTAAAGTAGGTTTGTGCCATTACATGTAGGCAATAGAGTTAGTCACCCCAGTAAAGTGTCCTATGGATCAGTGGAGTCGTTTCAAAGTTATCCACATTTTTGTGATTTTGGAAAAAAATCAGACAAAAATTTGAAAAAAAAAATTTCCCCAAGAAAAGGCCATAAGGCCCAAAAGAACCATAAAAACGTCTGGGATTTTTTCAATTTTTAGGGATGGTTAGGTTTTTTCAAATTTACTTTTATTATACTTTTATCATGAAGACCAAACAATGCTACAGTACAAGACTTTCAAGATCAGTCCTTTATTAAATTCTACACATTTTCTTATTACTAATAATATTAATTAAATTATTAATTATTTCTTATTGCAATAATTTATAGCAGTTTAAATCAATAAATAATTTAGGTTAAGATAACTTTTTTTCATTTATTTATTTATTGTTATTTTAAAAGCAACAAGAAAAAATTATGTTATTTACAATGATATACATATAGACATGAACATACGCAATAATGTACGCACGTTAGGATGTCATGATTGATTTGAACGGCCGCCAATCCAGTGAAAGTGGCCGTAATTGGCCATTATGGCGTGAAATCAACAACAATCCCGCAGTAGCTGCAGCTACACACCCACACGCAGCTACAAAATGCAGCAGTGGTTGCTGTTATAAAATCAGATCGTGCCTTCAGTCAATCACCTGCGCTTCAATCTTCTGTGAGGGTTGAAATGAAGTGTTTGATCTGGACAGGTTGTCAGGTAGTTTGTAGTGAAATTTATCGTAGTGTCGGAATGTAATAGGAGATCAGCCGTAAAGAACAAGTAAAGTAAGGGAGTAAGTGTGCTTCCCTGGAGGACGCCGGCTAAAATGAGAAAAATAGAAGAGGCAGAGGTGCCTTGGGTTACTTGGACGTAATTTGTTAGGAAGGATTTGAGGATAAAGTAGTACTGCCTTTACGTTCAACAACAAGTCCTCGTGCCATACCCGATCATGGTTAAGATAACTAATATTAAATTAAAAAGTATTTGTATACAGGGTGTCAGGCTACATTCTTCCATAGACTCAAGAATGCGGAGTCTCAATGTGAAATTTCTCCCTTACAGATGCTGATTGGATCATTGTACAGAGAACTTTTGTTCATTCTGAAAGTACGAAATTTGCTGGCAATGTTTGTGACGAGAATGGCTTGACACCCTGTAACCCGTATGTGTTCAGTGAGCAAATCTTAATTTTTTTATTTCTTTTCCTCGAATTTATTCTCTTAAAATATTACCTTTCGTACTTTTTTGACTCTGTTATAGGTACTACCTTTTGAATTTTCAGAAAAAGTCTCTGTAGTGCCACTGTCAGATGAAATGTGGCCCCAAGGCGATCAAATGTACAACGTACCATGCGTGGCTGCTGGTTGGGGGCGTCATGAAATGGGCGGCAAATTGGCGACGCACCTCCAAAAACTTGACGTAACAGCAAGACACGGAGAAGACGGCTGTGTGTGCGATTTGCCGTAAGTCAAGCCCCGTTCAAAATATCATTTCCTCAATTAATTGATTATTCGGTTGTAGATTCCAAAACAAGCGGTTGGTGTGTATCAGCGGCAAAGCGGGCAAAGGACTCTGCGCTGGTGATTCGGGTAGCGTTCTAGTCTGTAACAAAAAAGCAGTCGGGGTCGCCCATATTATTTATCTTGAAGAAGCTTGTAATCCCTTTAGAATACGAATGCCCAAGCTATCCTGCAAGCAGTCCCTTTCTGCCTTTATGTATATTTGCCCCTTTTTGGATTGGATTCGCAAGCATGTGCCCGATGTCCCTGGTACACCTATCAGTTGCAATGGATGTAAAATATCTTCATCCTTGGTCAAAGTTGTCGTACTTAATATTTTATTGAAATTTCAAGCAATAAATATATACTTATCTTAATACAAATCCATAATAAAATTTTCTTGTTGCATTATGGCTACATTTTAAAAATGTTCCAACAATCAATATATAAAAAATATTGTCTTTTTTATTACCAATTTTATTGTAACGTTTGTAACATTGATAATGCAACACAAATAATAGAGTGTTCTTAATATATAGATTTAAACTTAATAGAATTGGAGTAAAGATACCCCCCCTATGCGTGCTGGTCAATCGCAATACACTAAAATAAAATAAAAAATAAAATAAAGTACTAACTTGTCAATGGTTAGTTTAGGACCAGGATTAGGCTTAGATTTGGGACGTATAGAGGCTGACGAGGGTAAAGCTCAAGTTGTGATTTGCGCAAATTCCAAACAGTTCAATAGTTCATCATTTTGAGGGTGCACGCCCAGAACTGAAACTGATTCTTTCATGAGAAAACGCACTGAACTGGCTGTTTCTCAAACCTGCATTAAAACCCATGCAACAACTGTTAATGAAAACTCACTACAAGCGTGGTACTTGATAAGTTTTCGAGTTGCACATGCACGTAAAGCTCATACCATCGCTGAAACCCTCATAAAACGGTGTGTTAACTATAATGTATCTTGTAAGCTTGGCGAAAAAGCAGCAAAACCTATATATTCGCTGCTATTGCGTATTCAAACAATACTGGCAAAAGACGGATACTTGATTTATCAAACGATGTGAAAGAATCACAGGTTTCTCGCATCCAACACAATTCATTTCCACTCCAAATCGTTGAATCAACTGACATCGTGGAGTTAGCTATTTTATTGGCTTTTGTTATGAATACTCAGGATGTTTCGAGGAGGATCTTCTCTTATACAAACAACTTCCTGCCAATGCAATTGTTGCCAAACTATTCCGTTTGTTCGACGATTTTTTTACAACTAACGAAATTCCATGTTCTAAGTTCATTGACGTGTGCACAGACGGTGTAAATGCAATGACTGGCCGAACAATCGGAGTGATTACTAAAAAACAAAAAGATATATCGAAGGATTGCAGCAGCAGTGTGTTCTCCACAGATATGCTTTAGCCAAAAAACAAAAGAAATGCTAGCCTCTTTTAAGAAAGTTTTGGATGAGTGGTTAAACCAATATTGTCGTTTTCAATTTCCACAAAGTCAACCTATCCTCAAGAGAATACGAATGTTTGATATATATAACTTCAGACTCCACCTTGAAATCTGCTTTTGAGTCCGATATTTAACCCCAATTTTTGGCTCCATCTTGAAAACAAACTATTTCAACCGCTCATTGAAAAGCAAAGCGTGTTCTCTTTCCATTTGCCACAACTTTACCCATCTGAATCCGGATTTTCAATCTATAAGTAGAAGCAGAAGTGCTGAACCCGACATCCATCTCCAGCTATCAAAAACTATACCCAACATATCCAAATTGTGAGGGCTAAAACAACCTCACTCTTCTCATTAATTCATTAATCATTAATGTTCAAATTATTACTTTTGCATTTGGCTCAAGTTTTATCTATTTACCGTCCATTTACCTACCGTCCTGTCCAATTTGATTTTTGTGTTTTGGATTTTGTAAATGAAGTTAAATATGACAATCTAATATTTGTTTTCATAGTGATATCCCCCTCCATCACTTAATTAGAAATGAACCAGCTAATTTATAAAATTTGAATTTATTACATACTATAAATAGAGGTCCGCCCTGGATTCTGTTCTTTGAAAGGGGTCCACTGGCTAAAAAGTTCGGTAAGCCCTGGACTATAAAGTATTCTTTGCTGTCTCTAATATTTAACCCAATCATGGCTATATGGTCCTAATTCAATATTGTGTATATAATTAATTAAGGTTTTTAGTTGAGATGAAAAAAAGTTAATTGCACGAGAGGGATTCGAACCCACGACCTTCGGCTAGATACGCCACTGCTCTACTACCTGAGCTATCGTGACCTCAATCCACTCGGACATCAACTCCCCATCTCAACCCCACCTTATGAGTTTTCCCTCCTCATGCCATTTGTGTATATAATTAAATTTATACACTTATCCTATTAAAATCAATTACCTAGTTTTGTGAGACTCAGGGTACTTTAAATACCACTCAGGGCCCATCCCAATTTATATACTATTACAGTTCAGAAGGTGGCAGGGTATTTTTAACCACGACGTCCTCGCATCATTCATGCCAACAAATACGTTCATACAGAGTATAACTTTTATTAGAAACACCTTACTATCATACAGCAAACATATATTAACCAAGACTAGTTTGGAGGGTCTTGTATGGTTCTCTTAATCCTACCACCAACGCATCCCTACACATTTAAGCATTTCTGCTTATAAATGCATTCAACATGGGGGTAATCACCGGGATTTTGATATTATGCCAATGTATATATTATGACCCTTTCATATCATACTTCAAACATATATTAATGTACACTACTTTGGTGGACCTGTATGGTTCTCTATATTCTGCGACCAACTCGTCTACACACATTTAAGCATTCACGACCATAAATACATTCACACTTAGGGGATTTTAATATTACACCCTTTCATATCATATTTCAAACAAATATTAACCTAGACTAATTTGGAGGGGCTGGGAGCAATTCCATCACTGACTTGCCTACACATACTAACGATTCTTGACAATAAATATAGTCTCACCCTAATGAAAGCATGCGGTTTCCTATATACACCCATAAACTAGATTTTTTTTAGAATTGAGGTTTGATGTATTAATCCTTGTTGGCATTTTTTATTGTTGCAAATTGCAATAATGAGTTGATCAGTAAGTTTAATGTAACTTTTGATAACCGTTGAATTATATTGTGATGTTTACTTACATCCTAAAATTCATAATGCGTTATTTTATTAATAGATTATTATTCGGAAATCGTGAGATGCGGTCTGGTGTGATGTAGGTTTCAGAAAAACATTTTCTTTATCATGCCAACATTTCGATCATTATTGAGATCATCTTCAGGGCCTGGGATTTACAAACATTGTTTAAATTTAACAAAAACATGTAGGATGTGGAAAAAAAGTGAATTTATACAATGCAAAAAAATATTTTTCATATTCAATCAATGTATTTCTACTCACTCAAAGTGTTTGTTTTCTGCGTAAGTGTGCCATTCTTGCATGTCGTGTTGCCAGTGAGATATTGCTGTTTTATGTTTATATATGTTGGATTTTGAAGGGGTGGGGAAGGAAGTCGGTATAGAAAGACATGTTTTAATAGATCTACCTCTCTGAAATGCAATTTTTTAATTCTCTATACACCATATATTTGTTATTTTACATAATTCAGTATTGTTCTGACTACCACAGGATTATAATGGTAGCGAGTACTTTTTATTCCAAAGTGATCCAAGTTGTGTCAGTCTTAGTTTCATATTACAATGTATCAAGTTCATATTATAATTATAATAATTATACTAATAATGTCTTTAAGTAAAAACACGGAATTAAACAAATCAAAATAAAATAACATTATACAAAGTTAATCTAAATTATTTATTACTTTTATTGGAGAAATTCCATAAATTAGAGTATCTTAGCAAAACAGTGGTTCTTGTCTGGGTCCCCAGACAAAAATGTCTGCAGGGTAATGAAAATATAAGCAAGGCTACACCTACATACGAAGGCCAGGAATTACCAACCTCCAGCGCCTCTAAAAATGCATTAAAAAATCAATCTTTAAAAAATTGGCCAAATTGGCAGAGAAGTTTTGGGTGTCAAAAGCACTGTCAATATGTAGCACTTGGAGGAGCTCACTCATAGGAGAGGGGACATTCTCACATGATCAATAATAGGGATGCAAGGTTGACACCCAGACACTTCTATGTGTCCGATGTGAGAAATGGATGAGAGAAAGGTGGCAATGTGTGAAACTTAAAGGGTGCCATTCCTTGGCTACATATAGAGACCATGTAATAATGTCCTCCAACATGAAATTGTGCTTGAGCATGGCAGCATGTACATGCGTGTGCATATTTGAGCTTATGTAAATCAGTTATTTTACTGATATCTTAGAGATTTTATTCCGTTTCAAAAACTTTCGAACCGATACTCAGCCCCGTCTGTTTTCTGTCCCATGTGAATGAATTTAATAGAACTTATTATTTTATTAAGAAAAAAATTTGATTATAATTAAATTACACAAGTTGTTTTATCAATATGTTTACTTATTTCACATATGTTGTGTTTTGCCGTTCAATGCAACTTTTATTATTACAAATTATTTTCTTTTTTGCTTCTAACTCTGTAGGTTCAGCTAATAATGGAAACAATAATATCCGTCCAAGAATTTCAGGTGGTGAAAAAGCCAATATTAAGGAATATCCATATGTAGTGTTAATCACTTATCCCTTGGGCTTATGTACTGGTGCTATAATCGACCCTTCTTGGATTTTGACTGCAGGACATTGTATTTTTAAGTACAACATTTGTAATGTATGATTGCTGATATAAATGTAAAGTTATCAACAAATAAAGAGAAAAGTTTAGGTAACCGCTGGAATGGATGATGAAACCACTCCCTCTGAGCATGTTCAAGTAAGGAAATCAGAGAAATCATTTACCCATGAAAAATACGACCATTCACGTGGTCGCTATACAAGTCTAAACGATATAGGACTTATTAAGGTATATTTACTATATGTCTTTTTAAAAATTGGGTTTACACATTTTAAAAAATAGCACATGATTTACTAAATAACAAAATTGAGTTAGAATACTGGTAACCAAATATCATTAGAGCTTCATATTATTGTGTTTAACGGACAGAGTTCTTGGGTTCATATCCTCTACATGGGCTGGAAGGTAACGAACATGTAGAGTAGGCAACGAAAGCTGGCCCACTCTCCAGATCAAAAAAAATATGGTAAAGAAAGTGTGGCAGTGTCAGTTATCCGAGAAGCTTTTGCAACCAATATGTGGCCCCTATAGAGTTTAAATTGCAGACGTAAGATAATCCTAACCCGACTAATAATCAGCCATATGTGGTTGACACACAATGCTTTTTGGCCAAAAACCATTTATGTCATAGGCCAAAATGCAGCGAAAGGTTACTCGATGGTCACATTTATTTAAAAGGTGTCATTCCTTGACTCCATATAGAGCGCGAGTAGGAATGTCACCCAATATGAGAATAGTGGTCAGGTTAGGCAGAATGGCAACTCAATGTTAGGACAACGAAGCAAAATGTGGTCCCAGTTTAAGGTGAGGTTATATCAAATGTGCAGTAGGGATTGGGTAAGATGTCCATCCTATGCAGATATGCCCTGTTTTTCCCATGTCCACTTAGCACCTGAGTAATATGGAAGGCCAGCTTGTAAAACGGGCTTATCTATCCACAGGCTACAGCTGGCAAAAAGCATAGTGATTTTTGTCTAGCGTCCATTAGAAGAACCCACAAACAAGACTCCCAGACCTTCGTACTTTCAACTCCAGTATTGCCCTGAAGTATGAACAGGAAACCCTACAATGTTCCTTGGATAGATTTGTATTTAATAAGATTTGCTTTGCTAAAGAATCTGCAGCTTTATTGCCTTTTACGCACTTGAATTCAAACTGAATTGAAGTTTTGAAGAGTGTGTATACAATTCCTAAGGTATTTGACAAAATGAAGGTAGATTTTACCATTTCTTAGATTGTCCAGACTTACTATCCTTTCAGTAAATATTGCCACAGTTTTGGTAACATCTTTGTCTTATTTTGCTGAAGCATAGGCACACATTTAAAGGTAATGGCCACTGTTCACCACTTAATGACACTTTCGTCAGTGGGGCGCCAGTGGCTGCAACAGTTTAAGTATTGACATGGTTGACATTGGTTGGCTCAAAACTGTAAGGTAAAAGTCCCAGATTCGAATCCAGTGGCTTCGCATTCAAACTTTGGGGCTTTTTTCAAAAACAGCGGTACCCTCGAGGGGGACTTTCATAAGTAATTGGCATCTTCTCTCTTCATGTAATGGGCGTTGAAATATTAGGTGTCTCCAAGATTGAGTGCGTTTCATGCTACATGTGCATTGTTCATCTTCCACTAAGATTCCATAGTCTTGTAAGTAGTTGGTATTTCTATTTTTAGCCTGTCATAAATTGAAGAGGAAAAACTTTAGTGTACTCCAAATATGGCTAGATAACCATATTTTCTCCCATAGTGATTAACTTCTCTGATGCACTTTTGCCACAGATAGTGACTAACTGTAATATATTGTCAAATTTAACGGGTAAGTTCAAATTGTGTGTGTGTGTGTGTGTGTGTTTTTTTAGAGCAAGAGTGCCAAATATTACCCATATTAGTACCCTCGACTGTACAGTGTATAAATGTGTAGAGATTAGTGACCGTTAATCAATAGTTATTCAGATATTGTGAGATGCAGTCTCGTGTGATGTAGGTTTCAGAAAAACATTTTCTTTATCGAGATCGATCGATCTTTTATTGAGATCATCTTCAGGGCTCAAAGTGTTTGTGTTCTGTGTAATTGTGCCACCCTTGTGTGTCGTGTTGAGAGTGCCCACAAGACACGCACGGATGGCACAATTACTCAGAAGACATACACTTTGAGCCCTGAAGATGATCTCAATAAAGATCGAAACGTTGGCTCGATAAAGAAAATGTTTTTCTGAAACCTACATCACACCAGACCGCATCTCACGATTTCTAAATAAATTATGATTAACTATTAATTATTATTAACTCTGAACATATTTTCATTTTTGTAGGTTGATGAACCTTTTAACATCACTGATTATGTTGCCGTAGTGGGAGTGTCTGGTAAACCATGGCCTCTAGATGGAACAATGTACCAAAGATATTGCAAAGCAGCAGGTTGGGGCAGTTTGCAGATCGGTCAACCACCTAGTTTAGCCTTGATGAGGTTAAATGCCACTGCTAGGCATGGTGACAAAGCCTGCAAATGCTTACCAACGTAAATCATATTATTTTTGGTTGTACACCTTATACATATGTATTATGTCTTTTATGTTCTGTATTTGTGTTTTTAGTTACATCGAAAAAAGGGTGGTGTGTCTTAGAAGAGGAAAAGGAGGAATTTGCCCGGGTGACTCAGGTGGTTCTTTGGTCTGTGACAAAGAAGTAGTAGGTGTTGCACATGTAATGGTTTCAACTACTTCCTGTAACTTCTTAAAAATAAGAGAAGCTCCATTACTATGCAATACATCTACTTCTGTTTATATGTTCACATGCCCTTACTTAAACTGGCTACGAAAATTCGTACCGAATATACCTGAACGACCAGCCAGCTGTAGAGGAGTGACTCTTTCAGGTCATATGGTCACTGTTATATTCTTGAACATCCTTCTTTTTTTGAAAATAACCTTATTGAAATACCTATAAAAACAACAAAATGACATTTTTACTTTTAGTTTTAGTTAGTCTATATATATTTTTAATTGCATATGAAACAATACTATTCCTTATGAGTATAAAATTTCCAGTCTTTAGCATTCAATGAAAAATTAATATGTAACATGTTAAATTAAAATAGTAAACATTCATATGTCTACATTTATAATAGCATATAATTCTGAAAATAACAGCCCACTCTAATGCACAAATAATCTTCTATAATATAATAAAATTAAAATAATATCACTTTATATAGTTTATACTGACCGATCAGCTTCTCATTGTTTATGTAGAAGATATCGTAGAAACTGATTGATAACCACATTAAAGGAACAGCATTGAAAATTAATCTTTTAACACTAGGCATATGCATATCAGACAGGGAAGTCTAAGACCAAACCCTTGATGATTTAAACAGGCTACTGTCCAATGCATTGCATAACAGGGTGATAGCTTTGGTGAAGTTCATGAACATATTAGTTGCTTTTAACTTTTTTTCAAAATCCATACACCAATAGGAAGAGGAAATCCTAAGAAAGAGGATAGTAATTATATGGCATAAAATAATAATTGCAATAATCACCACTATTGTAATCAGTGTTGGTTTAGTCAAGGGCTTAGTTGCTTGGAATATGCAGAGCATGCTACAGAAGTCGTCATAGAGAGGGTGCAAAAATGGAGTAAGGAAAAGAATGCCCTTCTCCGACAAAGTGAAATATCTGGACATCATTTTGCCCAAAAGCTTTGCAGATTAAAGTCACATAAAAAGTGAAAATTGTCATTGGTAGATGTAAATGCCTTTGTGGGAAAAACTCAGGACTAAATCCAGAGAGATTCCTATGGTTATTCACATCATTTATTAGACCCATGAAAATTTACGGATTAGTAGTTTGGTGGATGAATACATTACAGCCGAGGGCAGTCAGGATTCTCAGTAAAGCTCAGAGACTAGCATGCCTGGGCATTACAAGGGCAGGAAAACAAACCTACTTGCTGCCTTGAATGTTCTCTGAATCCTCTTCATCCAGGGAGAGGCTAGAGCCACAGGCTAATGTAAAGACAGGCTCCAATAGCATATCCCCATAAANTTACTATATGTCTTTTTAAAAATTGGGTTTACACATTTTAAAAAATAGCACATGATTTACTAAATAACAAAATTGAGTTAGAATACTGGTAACCAAATATCATTAGAGCTTCATATTATTGTGTTTAACGGACAGAGTTCTTGGGTTCATATCCTCTACATGGGCTGGAAGGTAACGAACATGTAGAGTAGGCAACGAAAGCTGGCCCACTCTCCAGATCAAAAAAAATATGGTAAAGAAAGTGTGGCAGTGTCAGTTATCCGAGAAGCTTTTGCAACCAATATGTGGCCCCTATAGAGTTTAAATTGCAGACGTAAGATAATCCTAACCCGACTAATAATCAGCCATATGTGGTTGACACACAATGCTTTTTGGCCAAAAACCATTTATGTCATAGGCCAAAATGCAGCGAAAGGTTACTCGATGGTCACATTTATTTAAAAGGTGTCATTCCTTGACTCCATATAGAGCGCGAGTAGGAATGTCACCCAATATGAGAATAGTGGTCAGGTTAGGCAGAATGGCAACTCAATGTTAGGACAACGAAGCAAAATGTGGTCCCAGTTTAAGGTGAGGTTATATCAAATGTGCAGTAGGGATTGGGTAAGATGTCCATCCTATGCAGATATGCCCTGTTTTTCCCATGTCCACTTAGCACCTGAGTAATATGGAAGGCCAGCTTGTAAAACGGGCTTATCTATCCACAGGCTACAGCTGGCAAAAAGCATAGTGATTTTTGTCTAGCGTCCATTAGAAGAACCCACAAACAAGACTCCCAGACCTTCGTACTTTCAACTCCAGTATTGCCCTGAAGTATGAACAGGAAACCCTACAATGTTCCTTGGATAGATTTGTATTTAATAAGATTTGCTTTGCTAAAGAATCTGCAGCTTTATTGCCTTTTATGCACTTGAATTCAAACTGAATTGAAGTTTTGAAGAGTGTGTATACAATTCCTAAGGTATTTGACAAAATGAAGGTAGATTTTACCATTTCTTAGACTGTCCACTTACTATCCTTTCAGTAAATATTGCCACAGTTTTGGTAACATCTTTGTCTTATTTTGCTGAAGCATAGGCACACATTTAAAGGTAATGGCCACTGTTCACCACTTAATGACACTTTCGTCAGTGGGGCGCCAGTGGCTGCAACAGTTTAAGTATTGACATGGTTGACATTGGTTGGCTCAAAACTGTAAGGTAAAAGTCCCAGATTCGAATCCAGTGGCTTCGCATTCAAACTTTGGGGCTTTTTTCAAAAACAGCGGTACTCTCGAGGGGGACTTTCATAAGTAATTGGCATCTTCTCTCTTCATGTAATGGGCGTTGAAATATTAGGTGTCTCCATGATTGAGTGCGTTTCATGCTACATGTGCATTTTTCATCTTCCACTAAGATTCCATAGTCTTGTAAGTAGTTGGTATTTCTATTTTTAGCCTGTCATAAATTGAAGAGGAAAAACTTTAGTGTACTCCAAATATGGCTAGATAACCATATTTTCTCCCATAGTGATTAACTTCTCTGATGCACTTTTGCCACAGATAGTGACTAACTGTAATATATTGTCAAATTTAACGGGTAAGTTCAAATTGTGTGTGTCCACCATCCTTGCGTGTCGTGTGGGCACTCTAAACACGACACACAACGGTGGCACAATTACACAGAACACAAACACTTTGAGCCCTGAAGATGATCTCAATAAAAGATCGAAACGTTGGCATGATAAAGAAAATGTTTTTCTGAAACCTATATCACACCCTACCGCATCTCACGATATCTGAATAACTGTACAGTGTATGTGTAATTGTTTATCTATATAAAGTGTGATGGAGGAATATCAAGTACTTCACCACTCTACTTGGCTGAATGATATGTAAACAATAAACAGTGACTTTAAAAATGCGAATTTAAGCAGAAAAAATTTAATCTAGTTGGTTCATAACCTAGTTCTAATATAATAGCCATTATTCTTCTCACTACTCCTGAATGACAGTAATTATTTCATTTTAAATTAAATACATGTATTGCACGATTCTTTTCATGCTGAGCTGCAATTACATATTATTATAATAGTAATGCCCTTAGAGTCAATAAGACAAGATTTTGTGAATTAGTATTTCTTTTAATTTACACATAATGTTCTATTTTATGCAATTGTCTTAAATTATTCTTAAAGAGCAAATATATTGTGATTATGATTAACGTGTGTGGTGATTAGTGACCGTTAATCGATATTTATTTAGAAATCGTGAGATATGGAAGCACTTGCTACCCACCATTTTGAACACCAACACAATTTCGACTTCAAAAATCCAAAATATTACATACAGAACAAAACAAATATAAATGTAATTTCTTAGAAATTGTTTATATCAACCGAGATAAATACAGCATCAATTACAGAACAGATACATGTAAACTCAGTCGCACCTATGCCAATATCATTAATCACATTCAATACAGATAACATACCTATATCATCACATTACATTCCACACATCAAATATTTTTCACATAGTCTAATTTCCCAACAATTCAGCTTTCCTTTTCCTATTTAATCCTGAAAGGATAATCTGGCCGAACCATTACCAACACATTTTTTTCTCTTCGTCGGCTCCTTTCACCTCAAAGAAGCCGACGCCTTATACAAAAATTACTTTTCAATACCGATATCCTTCCCCACCCCTTCAAAATCTAACGTACATAAACACAAAATAGCAAAACCTCACTGGCACTCTCGACACGAAACGCAAGAATGACACAATTACACAGAAAACAAACACTTTGAGTGAGTAGAAATACTTTGATTGAATATATGTAAAAAAAATATATATTTTGCATTGTATAAATTCACTTTTCCACACCAAAAATGTAATTGTTATATTTAAACAATGTTTGTAAATCCCAGGCCCTGAAGATGATCTCATTAAAGATCAAAACGTTGGCTCGATAAAGAAAATGTTTTTCTGAAACCTACATCACACCAGACCGCATCTCACGATTTCTAAATAAATTATGATTAACTATTAATTATTATTAACTCTGAACATATTTTCATTTTTGTAGGTTGATGAACCTTTTAACATCACTGATTATGTTGCCGTAGTGGGAGTGTCTGGTAAACCATGGCCTCTAGATGGAACAATGTACCAAAGATATTGCAAAGCAGCAGGTTGGGGCAGTTTGGAGATGGGTCAACCACCTAGTTCGGCCTTGATGAGGTTAAATGCCACTGCTATGCATGGTGACAAAGCCTGCAAATGCTTACCAACGTAAATCATATTATTTTTGGTTGTACACCTTATACATATGTATTATGTCTTTTATGTTCTGTATTTGTGTTTTTAGTTACATGGAAAAAAGGGTGGTGTGTCTTAGAAGAGGAAAAGGAGGAATTTGCCCGGGTGACTCAGGTGGTTCTTTGGTCTGTGACAAAGAAGTAGTAGGTGTTGCACATGTAATGGTTTCAACTATTTCCTGTAACTTCTTAAAAATAAGAGAAGCTCCATTACTATGCAATACATCTACTTCTGTTTATATGTTCACATGCCCTTACTTAAACTGGCTACGAAAATTCGTACCGAATATACCTGAACGACCAGCCAGCTGTAGAGGAGTGACTCTTTCAGGTCATATGGTCACTGTTATATTCTTGAACATCCTTCTTTTTTTGAAAATAACCTTATTGAAATACCTATAAAAACAACAAAATGACATTTTTACTTTTAGTTTTAGTTAGTCTATATATATTTTTAATTGCATATGAAACAATACTATTCCTTATGAGTATAAAATTTCCAGTCTTTAGCATTCAATGAAAAATTGATATGTAACATGTTAAATTAAAATAGTAAACATTCATCTGTCTACATTTATAATAGCATATAATTCTGAAAATAACAGCCCACTCTAATGCACAAATAATCTTGTATAATATAATAAAATTAAAATAATATCACTTTATATAGTTTATACTGACCGATCAGCTTCTCATTGTTTATGTAGAAGATATCGTAGAAACTGATTGATAACCACATTAAAGGAACAGCATTGAAAATTAATCTTTTAACACTAGGCATATGCATATCAGACAGGGAAGTCTAAGACCAAACCCTTGATGATTTAAACAGGCTACTGTCCAATGCATTGCATAACAGGGTGATAGCTTTGGTGAAGTTCATGAACATATTAGTTGCTTTTAACTTTTTTTCAAAATCCATACACCAATAGGAAGAGGAAATCCTAAGAAAGAGGATAGTAATTATATGGCATAAAATAATAATTGCAATAATCACCACTATTGTAATCAGTGTTGGTTTAGTCGAGGGCTTAGTTGCTTGGAATATGCAGAGCATGCTACAGAAGTCGTCATAGAGAGGGTGCAAAAATGGAGTAAGGAAAAGAATGCCCTTCTCCGACAAAGTGAAATATCTGGACATCATTTTGCCCAAAAGCTTTGCAGATTAAAGTCACATAAAAAGTGAAAATTGTCATTGGTAGATGTAAATGCCTTTGTGGGAAAAACTCAGGACTAAATCCAGAGAGATTCCTATGGTTATTCACATCATTTATTAGACCCATGAAAATTTAGGGATTAGTAGTTTGGTGGATGAATACATTACAGCCGAGGGCAGTCAGGATTCTCAGTAAAGCTCAGGGACTAGCATGCCTGGGCATTACAAGGGCAGGAAAACAAACCTACTTGCTGCCTTGAATGTTCTCTGAATCCTCTTCATCCAGGGAGAGGCTAGAGCCACAGGCTAATGTAAAGACAGGCTCCAATAGCATATCCCCATAAAAGGTAACAATTAAAGCTCCAAGAGGAGCAATGTTCTGGGGATATCTATCAAGGTCAAGATCCCAAAATTCAGATTTGATAAGAAATTTTACATTCAAATACATACCTTATAGAGCGGAATGGGCTCCCAGTTAATGCAGACTGGTATATTTATGACCCTAAGACCGAGTATGATTCAGGAGCTGGTATCTATGAACCAAATACTAGAATTCACATAAGCTTTCATATGTCACTGTCCTTCAGGCAGAGAATATGGCTATTGAACATTGTACCAGGGAGATCAAAAGGCTGGGTATTACATACAAACTAATGGCTACCTACTCGATCAGCCCGGTGGCACTAAGATAACTACTAACTACCTAATCGGTAGTAAAATTCAGAGCCATTAGGAATTGCATCAAGATGCTGTTAAACATTGGGGACTACAACAAAATTGTCCTTGATTGGGACATGGCAGAATTAGCCGAAAGTTCAATCTATTGGCCTTGAACCGTTCTGGAGCATACCGAGTTGCCAAACTGCATATCCATCAGACAATATGTTAAAAATAAGTGCTCAGTTCAATGAGATTGTATTCCAGGATAGAGGCATGCAAAAAATTCATCAAAGACCTTTGCAGAAACTAACAACAGAACTACTAACGTAGGACGTGTTACTAAAATGATAGTAGGACTGCATACTCCGGAGGTATAAGTATAGACTAGGAACCAGTGCACATAATTCCAAGAAGAAGAAACAGAAGAGTATGTCCTCTGTTGGTGCAGAGGTCTATGCAGGCTAAGATTAGTACTTTTGGGAAAGGAAAAAGCCAACATATGAAGGAAACTGATGAGACCCCTTGACAAAACTGTTAAAAAGCCCTACATTTAACAAAGAGCTCGAGATATTAATGGAGATAGCACAGTAGATCAATTGGTAACAGCATGCAAAATTGCAAAGAGGCTGACTTTATTTAACCTCAACCTTAACCTTAATTTAATTATCAGATGTAAAAAAAAAGAAAAGTAAGAGACGATTTTGTTTCTTTTAATTCTTTATTACAAAGAAATAAAATGTAAATGAAAATAACGGTCTTCTGAGGGTTCAGTAGAGTTCATTGAATGGATATTCTTTATGATATTTGCCACTGCAAAAGAAATGGAAAAAAAATTGAAAGACATGTACACATTTCATTATGAAAAAACTTATTTTTCACCATTATTACCTTTCAAACAAAACTAATCGACCATTTTCTTTAGTAAGACTATCCAAACATTCCATGTCCTCTTTTGAAAGTTTAAAATCAAAGAGGTCAAAATTTTCCTGGATTCTGGTCTTGTTTGAGGATTTAGGTACCACAATAATGCCTCTTTCGATCTACAATAAACTAATTAAAATTTTGGCATACGAGCTTTGCTACAAAAACTACCTGATATCTTAATACTATCTGCCCAGGAGTCTTTCCATATTTTTCAGCGAGTTTCAGTACAAAAACATCTTCCAGGAGAACTGGATCTCCCGGTTTTACCCTGTAGGGAGCACCGAGGGGGGAATATGCTGTGATGACAATCCCTTTTGACGCGCAGAACACTCTGAGTTTCTCTTGGTTAAAATACGCATGGCATTCAACCTTTCAAAAACAGAAATTTAAATTTAAATATTTTCTTTTTGCTTTATACATAGTAAACTGAATGTACTTGATTTGTGACTGGTTTTATTTTGGCAACTTTAAGCAATTCTTCAATTTGGCGTTTGTTAAAGTTGGAAATGCCTATCGACTTAACAAGCCCTTTCTCCACGCACTCCTCCATCGCAGCCCAGGTTTCGGTGAAATAGATGTCACTAAGCATCACTTTACCATCTTCTAGTGGCATCAATTCTCCACCTTCCTTAAAACTGATCGGCCAGTGGATTAAATAAAGATCAAGGTAATCCATTCCAAGGTCTTTTAGACTCTCACTTAAAGACTTCTCAACTAAATCCCTTCTGTGGAATGTATTCCAAAGCTGTATTGTAAAACAAAATGTCAATCATTTATTAGACTGTGAAATACTGCACAACACTGTACCTTACTGGTAATGAAAATATCTTCTCTCTTTATCGTACCATCTTGTATTTTGTCTCTTATGGCCTGTCCTATGTATTTTTCATTTTGATAATACAAAGCTGTATCAATATGACGGTAGCCCACATCTATAGCATGTCTCACTGCTTGATACGCTTCATCCTTCACTGCCTGAAAAATATTCAAGATATTAAGATTTCTTCATGGAGTCTTTGGTATCTGGGGTCATGGAGTGGTCCCCAAAACCTATATGTGGGACGTTCAATAGAACCCTAGAAGCACGTGTCAGGTTGCTCGGACTTGACAGGTGAACACCCTCCCACCATTTTCTACTTCTCTACTAACTACTAGTCTACTATCTAAGCTCTGTAGGGATAGCGTTGGAAGAAGAAAGAACAACTAGGGTGAAATATCCAGTTCCCTTTATTCTACCAGAACAATTTCCCAACAAACATAAATTAACGAAATTCTCTTACTACACTATTATACAATTAATAAACAAAACTTATAAACTGAATGACTATTTCTATATACAAACCAACGCTCTTATTCCCATTAGCAAACCTTTATTACTAGGGGCTTAATTATTGGGGGTCGTATTACTTAAGATTAGGCCGCAGCCCGAAATCGCCCCAACTGTTCTCCAAATCTCCCGCCAACTGATTGACAAATATTGTACTCACAGAACTGAGATGTTGGCATTGGTCTCGCTAACTCCTGGCTGACTCCTGGTCGATAACTGCGGATTGCATCCTGACTCCTTGTCGACTCTTATGGACTTCTGGCTGACTGCTCGTCGATTGTACAGAATTCTCGCTGATTCCTCTCTACGCCGACTGTCATGGCCACACCAGACTTCTTCTCAGACCCTGACTGAGATCTTGAGTCTGCTTCTAGACTACTCTCTCCACTTCTCTCTCGTCTTCCTGCTCGATTTCTGTCTAGACTTCTCTCTTGACTTCGGCTCGTCCTTGCAAACTTCTTGCCGGATCCTGGCAAACTCCTGGCCTACTCCAGGCCAACTCTTGGCCAACTTCGGCTCCTTCGGGCGAATGTCTCACCATTGTCTTCTTGACAACTCTTCGTCTCCTCCTGGCAAACTTCTCGCCGAATCCTGGTCTTCTCCTCTTCGACTTCGGCTCCTCCTGGTGAACTTCTCGCCGGATCCAGACCAACCCTTGGCCGATTTCGGCTCCTTCGGGCAAACTTCTCGCCGTGATCTTCTTGATGAATCGTGGCCAACTCCCGGCCTACTCCGGGCCAACTCTTGCCCGACTTCAGGTCCTTCGGGCGAATTTCTCGCAGTCGTCTTCTTGACGGCTCTTCGTCTCCTCCTGGCGAACTTCTCACCGGATCCTGGCCAACTCCTGGCCTATTTATACAGCCCGGCTCGACCGCAACAGCTCTCCACTGACCGCCTCTACTTTTTTAACTCTTAGTTGACTCGACGAGACTTTCTGACTGACTCAACTGCACTGACTCCACTCTCTATCTCTAATTCTACTGGAATCAACTGTAGACTGCCCTGCGTGGATTCCAATTTTTGTTTTTATCAATCAGTCCGGAGAGTAGTTGGGAACAGTTACTGCTATGCTTCCTGGTGACCCGACAGCCCTTGTTCTCCCCAGGTCATTAAGATATTCTAAATGAGTCCAGGAGTTAGCCACTTGTCAGCACAACAGTAAATTTTTCTAGGGTGATTGCCCAGGATCGACCAACATTTCTCAATTGAAAACATTCAGCTGTTACCATTTCACCAGTTTTGTTTAGCTGCGTCTAGAGTTTTCAAGAAATTCAGGGTCGGCTCCCGAGATTCCAGGTCACTTCCGATTGCCCAATCCTACACAATACGCTTTCCCAACAATTAGCCAAAATATTCCTACTTTTAATCTTAATATTTGTAATTAATTTAATTTCTAGATAAACCTGTTTAAGATTCCCTTTTGGGAATATTCATTCTGTATCGACTTATAGTGGTTTTGGGGACAAATGGGATTTTAAGTTCTGTGTGGAATTGGAAACAAAGTAGAAAGCTCAGGCAATGGTTCGAACGATTTTGAACTGGAGGTTGAAACGCTTGGTTAAACCTCCACAGTTCAATTATGAACGTCCAGATTGGTTATAGGTAGTAATGTAAATGAGGCATTTGTTTTGTAGTGAGAGTTTTCATCTGTTGTCTTGTGAATTTTTATTATTTTATATTTATATTCAGTTCATTCTTTTGAATCGATTTTGAGTGTTACGATGTAAATGTAGTGAACAAAATTGGTTTTTGGAGAGGAAAAGAATTATAGTAGATTGGAGGAGAGGTGGTATGGCAAGATTATTTGTGGGATTTGATTTTGTCTGAATCTCCATTTCCCAAACTATTTTTTCAAACAGGAGAAATGGTTCTGGAGGCTTTGGAAAGGCCTGGGCTTGATAAAAGAATGGCACTATCATCTGTATTGATCAGATTATCACGATATTTATAGATTTAGTATAGAGTACCACCATCGTATATACTGAATAGAAAATGGACCAAGAATGTTGCCTTGAGGAACATCCTCTTCAGCATAATGTTATTTGAGTGAAAATGCCTATTACCTTTTGATTTTACAGAACAAACTTTGGTGCCTCACATCTATACACCTGAGCAGCATCCTCACTTAATGGAGTTTATGACGATGTCCACCAACCTGTATCACTGTCCAATGTTAGAGTGGTATCATCCGAACCCAAAATGGTATGGGATGACATTACAGCTTGCAAGGATGGGATATAGGTGTTTTTAATGGATCTTGCCAAGTAATGGTAATAAAACAATAGGGTGATATGTTTTGGAAGCTTAGGAAATTAATGGTGTGGGGCCTAGAAGTTTCACTAAGTAAAAATGTGTGCCTTTGACTCCTGCCCACACTTCATGATTCATTTTACATCCATCTATGTACCATGGTCCCTCCATTAGTTCCAAGGTTTTTATTCTTCCAAATATCTCTTATGTTTATTTTGAAGAATATGTGAAATTTTACTACGTATATATGTTATATGCATGATTGGAAACGTACAGTGTAAAAGATGAGGTAAAGAGAAAAACCAGCCTGATTTGGAGATGAAGTCTATGTCTTTCAGTGCTGTTTGGTTGTCTGCATTTGTGCACCATACAGTACTTTTTGGAGTATTGCACACAGTTCTATTGCATTTCAATAGATTTCAGATTGGAAAATTGATGTGCAAGGCCTAGAGGTTCAAAATTTGTGCCTTTGCATCCTGCCCTCACCCCATGTTTTAGATTCATCTGTATACTCGAAAGCTTGATTGATTTTTCTTTTCATTCAAATTTGTCTTATCCAAGAGACATTTTTTTTTTTTTTTTTTTTGCAACATGACAAGAAACATTATTTAGTGACATACATTGATTGCAAGTGTAGGCATTATAATTTTTTTCTTTTTTTTTAATGACACCTATATTTTGCCTTGGATCTATCTGAACATGGAGGGAAATTCAATTTCAAATAATAAAGCCATTTCTCCTTCTGACTACATAGTAAGTTAGTATGTAGAATTTATTCATAAAGCGAACTTAAATAGTGAACAGTTGGAAAGTATTGGAACTAAGTATCAGCGGCTCACCTTGTAAGTTCCAAGACCAATGACAGGCGAGCAATGGCCATTGTAGAATTTAACAGACATTTCTCGACTCAAAGCGGTAATTTCAAAATAGGACTTGGGCCTGAGTCGGTTTTTGAGCCCGTTCCGCAATAAAGGGCTTGACAAAATAGAACAAATTCGCCTCTGAATCTTGTAATTCGGCTTTTGACAAATATCCAAAATAGCAAAATCACTAACTGTTACTACTGTAACGCGATAGCAGCACTATTATACATAAAAATATAAAAAGGTGTTTAAAAAAAAAATTCAATACATGTGCAACACATGTTTTGTAAATGGATCTACAATCTCCTCCAAACCATCGTCGGCTGTTTCCAACTGGATCAATATATTTCCAATTGAAGTGATAAAAATCAAAATTGAGAAAGAATTTTTAACACTTCCAAACGTCAAAGAGGCGATAACTGTATTTTCTTGCTTTCGTTGATATTTTTCAACAATTTCTTTTATTTTAGCTCTAGTAGAGTCCTGCAAGAATGCAAGCTGCTTCATATGAGATTATTTTGTATCACTTTGATTAACAACCCCCAAAACATATTGCTTTTGAAATGGTGGATATAGGCACTACATAAGTAAGCATGGGAATGATTATACATTATGTTTAAGCTTTTGCTTGTAGCTCAGGGTAAAATGTGTACTAATTATTTTGGCACATGATTACATGCTTTCCATGTTAAATATTTACTTTATTATTTATTTTTGATCTTTATTGATTATTTAATAGTCTACGGTCAATGTAGAACCTTCGTCTGAACCTGGTCACTAGCCTTCTTCATCCATATTCTGGAGCCTTCATAAATGAGGTTTTCATCATGGTATCTTATCACCTGGATGTTCCTCATAAGCACACGGTGCTCGATCCACATCCAATGAAGATGGCACAGCCCCCTTTACTACACCAATCAAATCTATTTCCTGGTACAGATTCTTTAGGTTCTCATTTTTTTCCAATTCTGTACCTCCCTGAAAATAACACTTAGAAATTTCCTTTCCCAGCAGTTCAACTCCCTCCCCATGCCTTAGATATCTCCAAGGTACATTCACCGATTTCCAGGCATTTACCCATAATATATTTCTTAATCTCTTTCAGGCAAGATTTATTCAAGGGGTCTTTGAGATGATATATCTGCATTTCGGTCATTCGCTAGATTGCTATAAGCAACAAGCATGTGCTTATGAATTGTATATTATAAGAGAAGGGAAGTATTCCAATAATAACATCCCCTATACAACACTAATCACTTTTAAATTCACTAATTTCATGGTCCGCTTGACCAATTAATATCTTAGAGGTAGAGCAGCGGCGTATCAAGCCAAAGATCGTGGGTTTGAATCCTGCTCGTGCCATTGACTTTTTTTATCTCAACTGAAAACCTTAATTAATTGTACTAATCACTTTCCTCACTAGGAAAAAAGTTGCAAGGCTATGTGCACTTTAGGAGTCTTAGATCGGGAATAGTTCAGAATTTAAGGACTAAGAGGTTGAGATGACAGTCCAGAGTCCATATAGACTTCTAGTG